TATAGTCTACACGTGTTGTTAATGTGTTCATCATCACAAGATGCTACGAGTTAAGTAATAGATCTAAAGTTTTGACGGCTATGTCTCCACCTACAATGTAGATCACGAATCCTGTTCCAAATAAAAGGGCAAGCAGTCTGCCAAGCAGTGATCTAACGTGTTGGATAGGAGAATTTCCATACCACGTCTTCTCACGCATCTCTTAATGGCGGCGCGTACTTCGCTTGCTACGCAAGGTACTCGAAGGTATCTTGTTACCTGTACTCGGTGTAGCATTGTCGTAATTATGGGCACTAGTTCTTCTTTTTAGTTTGCTCAAACACGTCACTTGGTGTGTTCAGGCGCTGATTTTGTGAAAAAAAAAACTATGCTCTTAGAACGTCTGTGTTTGTGTTAACATGCGATTTGATCTTCGACATCTTTTTATGGTTCTATGTGAACAGAATAATGGTATTTTACTCAGTGAAGAGCGAATGCACTATAAATTGGACTCTCCTACGTTTGACCCTTGACCTTTACTGCCGAGAACTGTCGAAATCACGAAAATCAGACGCTTTGTGTGTATGTATGCATATATGCATACATGTACATATGAATGTGTACGTGTTATGTGCGTACATATATATATATATATATATATATATATATATATTTGTGTGTGTGACGCCGTGAATATGTGCGCACTTGTGCAAATATGTATGTGTTTATGTGCTTATATATGGCGCGACCACTATTCTAAGGACAATAAACAATAACAGGAATCAACTCCTTGTATTTTCTTTATGTTTTTTCTTTGTGTGTAAAGCGCACAGAGAAAGGATTGTGAAAAAAATAAGAAGAGACAGAAAAGAAAGCAAAAGAACGGAAATATAGATCTTTCCGTAAATACACATACTTCTAAAAATCATGCTGTCGCTTTCCACTACCTGCCTTCTTGAACGTAAATTTTTGTGAAAAGTAATGCCGACCAGCTGTTCAAATATGCGTATAAATTTTATTCTTTTGCGGGAAATACCCTCTCACAATGGCTTGCATGTATGGCATCAACTGTTTTCAAAACCTCGCAATAATCATTCGATCTAATTTTTAAGAATGTTTAAAGCCTTAGTCGAGGCTGGTACGCCAGTGTCATACACTGGTGTTTTGGAGGTCTCGCCGCTTTTCAGATATGTTCTCTTCGTGCCATGGGTCAGTATATGCAGGTCACCCAAGAAGCCCTTTCTTATACATTTATATATATGACCCGACATTACTTTTACTGTGCCAGTATTAGTTTTCTTGCATCTAAATAATTTCCTCGCTCATCGTCCCAAGATCTTCAAGCAGTTCTCATGTATTGTCTCAAACGCTGCCCAAGATTTCGCCTTTATAAATGTCGTTGAATGTTGACCAGATGAGACTTCTTGCAATCCTGGGCCTACAGTGTGATGACTACGTGATTACATCAGTGTCAAATCTGTATCTTGCTTTCTATTAGTATCCAGAACTGAGCACTCAGCTATTCCAGCTCACACTGTTCATTAATATCAATTCCTCATTGCTCACAAAATTGCCTCAGCTTATCTTGCTTTTATTCAGACCATCTCAAAAAAGAGAATCTGTATTTTGCGAGAAATACAAGAATAGCTTAGGAACTAATCTTTACTGAACAAAGGAATATTACAGAGTAATTCAGTCAATGCCGAGACTAATCGATACTTGGTCTTGGGACTAATCTTCATTTTAAGTTTTTGCGAGGTTGGTGTCTCTTCTTCGATTATTGTTCTTCTTGACAATCGAGGGATCTTCTTGAGTATTGATCACCGACGCTTCGGCCCTTTCCCCTTCTTCGACGCCAAGTTATTTAGTCTAGGGACTCTGTAATCTGTGTTCTCGTAGTCGCTGAGGTTTTAATTAGCCAAATGTACCACCAAAAGCTTTTGAATTAGCAATCAGAGAAGAAGCTTGAATTTTGTCGGCATATCTGACAGTACTTGTCTGCACATTGTGTCTCTCACAAGTTTGCCTATGGGCCATGGACCACCCTAATCGAAGAACACATCCGAGTGGAATCTTGAAGGATAATGGTGATTTCAACAGACAGATAACTTACCACATGTAATTTACTGCTAATTCGTCAAAAAAAAAAGCCCACGGAGTTTTTAGATGTCTTTCCGGCTGAGGAATCTTTTGAAGTGGGAAAGCTGCGATAAGTACAATGAAGAAATACGTTTAGCAAATGTTCGAAATGCACTAGAAATTCCGCATGCTCACTGTTAATAAACATTCTTTCACCAACAGCAACGCGCAACGGCACGTCGTAGAACTCTGCCTCATCTACCAAACTTGCCAATGCTCTTCCTGCTGACAACCATTTCTTTAATGTTCTTGATCACTTTTCGTGAAGTTCAGATTTCTATGCGTGTTATAAGAAACTTCTTTTTTGTTTTTATATAAAGATCTTGAAGCGTTTTTTCGATTTATAAAGTTTCTTAAGCTGAGATAATCCACCATTATTGTACAACTTAAAATCCGTTATTGATTTCCAAGTAATGTAATATATTGATCACTACAGTAAATGGACTGACAGATCAGTATAGCTTCTAAGAGATTACAGTCTTTAGGGACAACTGTAAAAAAAATGTGAAATGAAAGAACCAACAGCAATTGCAATTCCCTGTTAAGACGAGGAGTGGTCATAAACAACTATCTCAACAGAGCATGGAAGAAGATTAGACTACGCCTAGATTTCGAGAAAACCCAGTGTATTACGAAGCTGACGAACTGATTGGTTCTCCGAGATTATAGAGAGCAATTATAATAGTACCTTCATTTTGGATATTTATTAATCATAAAGAACTATTGTGGGATAAATTAGACATACAGAAGAGTAACATGCCCGCATTAAGGCCTGTTAAAGGAGCTACTGACTATCTGGGAGCTGCTGAAATGCCTCGTCTTTTTAATTTACAGTGCTTTCAGAGCACAATTATGTAATAAAGGCGTGAACTGATACTTTAGCCATGACAAGCATGCTGCGCATTACTCAAATCGTTTGACAATTTTTTAAAAATATAACCGGTACAGGCAATATCTAGCCAGAATACGAAGCTCGGGCTCATAAAATACATCTTCACAAGTATACCTATAAGAAGTGAGTGGTAGGCGAAATTTTGACCTCAGACGAGAGTTGAACTCGCGTTTAACCCTCCCGGGGTAGCGTGCTATTATTACATCACAGAAGCCACCACTTACTCACCACTCAATCTTCAATATTTCTTTATTCTAGATATCACCCTCCAACCTTTAACAGGTTTGGTCGGGTGAGCAATATCGCGCTACAAACCTAGTTACGTGTTCCTTAGTCAGCCAAACCTGTTAAAGATTAATGACTGATATTTATAGTAAAGAGACCTTGAAGAATGAGTGGTGGCCAAGCGATAGCCTTGGTGATGTAGTGGTAGCAAGCGTCCCCGTTATGGATGAAACGTGGACTTAACTCCTGTCTAAGGTTGCGTTTTTTGTTCTTCTATAAAAGTAATAATAAAATTGAGCAGCCGATGCATAAGCAACTTAATTTAGAATTTTATAGCGTTACAAAAAAGGGCCCTACCAGAAAACGGCCACGTAGCGCCCTAGTCAGAGATCTGAGCTTTTAGCTTATTAACAACACCCTCATTGGAATGCTTTGTCCAGCGAGTGGAATCGTTTTTTTATCCCGTGCCGTTTAAAAGAAAAGTACCGATTTGAATCTACACAGATAAATCGCTTTACTTTGCATTTGCCAGCCAGAAGAGTACCACGCATGATTGGCTCTTTTTCTACGGCTTCGAAAGCTGAAAGAACGAGTTAAAAACCGATGTAAGTTGGTAGAATCTCGTGCTGCGTGAGGCCACGCTCGACGAGAGCATTTTGTGGAAAATTCTTTTCCTGTGCTTTTAGTGAATTGATGGAATACGCACACGAACAGTGCTGTCTGCTGTGAAGGACTAGTGAAAATATGCAACAGTTCTTCAGTCAAGAAGATCAGATTTCATTCTATTACCACTGAAATTCTGCTCAGAAATGGAACCAAACTCTGACCATAGCGCATACAGCAGTCACGGTTTACCAAGCAGTCACAGTAATTCTAATCAGATCGCTTCAAGTGGCCTTTTAGGCTGGAAACAATTTCGCTGCAGCTCGACAAGTCATTCCAGAGAAGCACCGATAGTAACTACGAGCTTATGACGCACCGTCACTAACTCTGATGAGATGAAATGAAATAGAACTTTAGCGAATATAGAGAACTATCTTTTAACCATATATGGAAGTGATATGAAAAAAGTTCTTGTTCGTTACCGCTGCAGAATTCTTGTTCTAATGAGCTAAAATTATGGATCGTAAAAAGGAATGCATTGCAGAAGCGGAGTTGCACAAGACGATAACGAGAAGGGTCGACATTGATAAAATCGACTGGTTTCGAACCAGCAAGTGCTGCAGAGTCGTGAAACGTTTCGAATAGACTGAAGGATTTAGGACCGTCCTTGAAAAGTCCTCCAAGGACTACGACTACTTCGGAAAACATTCGGAAGATCCTTTGTCAAGTTCGACGAAATCCGGAGCGTTCGATGCGCAAATGGTTCGATAAGCTCGGGTTCAGCGAGTGGAGCGTCCGAAAATTATCAAAAATAGGCTAAAGATGCGTGGTAACAAGATCGCTCCTGTTCTTTTTCTGGACAAAAAGATAAGAGAAAAACGGTCCTCGAAGGCTCACCGAATGATTCGTTTCATAGTTGGCGTTTATTTGCCTAAGGTGCTTTCCATAAATAAAAAGATATACAAGTCGAATCACCCATTAATGGTCAGAATCGTCAACTTCTCAGAAAAGTTCAGCAGAAGTCCTCAGTAGCATAAACCATGACCAGCAGTCATTTCGCGGCCCCTGTGATGGTCTTTGGCGGCATTTCCGCCACCGGAAAGACGTCGTTGGTCTTCACCAGCAGAAACATCAAACCTCAACGCTACCAGCTACCAGAGACAACCTTAGACGGGAGTTCAATTCACGTTTCATCCATAACGGGGACGCGTGTTACCACTACACCACCAAGGCTACCGCTTACCCGCCACTCATTCTTCAACGTCTCTTTACCATAGATATTCACTAATCTTTAACAGATCTAGCTGACTAAGCAACATTTAACTAGGTTTGTAGCGCGATATTGCTAACCCGACCAAACCTGATAAAGGTTGGTGGGTGATATCCAAAATAGAGAGATATTGAAGAGTAATCGATAAGCGATGGCCTCTGTGATGTAGTGGTAGCACGCTACCCCGGGAGAGCTAAACATGAGTTCACTCTCGTCTGAGGTCGAATTGTTACCTACCACTCATTTCTGTTAGATGTACTTGTGGAGCTATATTCTGTGAAGCCGAGCTTCGTATTCTGGCTAGATGCTGCGGGTACCGGTTATATTCAAAAAAAAAAAAATTTCAGCGCTTGTGAGTAATGCGCAGCATGCTTGTCATGGCTAAAATATCAGCTCACGCCTTTGTTACATATAACTGTGCTCTGAAAGGATTGTTGAATCAAAAAGGCGAGTGTGCATTTCAGCATCTCCCAGATGGTCAGTAGCTCCTTTAACAGACCTTAATCAGGGCATGTCGCTCATCTGTATGTCTGATTTTACCCACAATAGTTCTTTATGATTAATAAACATCAAGCGCGAAGGTACTACTATAATTGCTCTCTGTAATCTCGAAGAACCAATCAGTTTGACATTTTCAGCTTCGTAATGCGCTGTATTTTCTTCCAATCTAGGCCTAGTCAAATCTTCTTTCACGCTTTGTTGAAATAGTTAATCATGACCATTACTCGTCTCAATAGGAAATTACAATTGCTGTTGGTTTTTCATTTCACATTTTTACACGTGTCCCTAAGAGATTGTAAGGTCATAGAAGCTTTACTGATCTCTGAGTCCCTTTACAGTGATGATCGATAGATTACTTTACTTGGAAATATAAAGGATTTTAAGTTGTACAATAATTGTGGAATATCTCAGCTCAAGAAACTTTGTAAGTCGAAAGAAACCTTTCAAGATCTTCAATTGAAAATGAAAAAGTTATTTGTTATAACCTGCATAGAATTCTGGAAAAGTGATGAACATTACTGAAGAAATGGAAGTCAGCAGGGGAGAGCTTTGGCAAGTCTGTTGGATAAGGTAAAGTTCTGTTGCTCAGCTTGTTGATCTTTTGCAGCCTCGGCAATGCGACGTGTGGTTGCGTGTTGTTGTTGGTAAAAGAATGGTTCTTTTTTGTTTATAAACAGTGGTGAGCATACGTAATTTCCAGTGCATTTCAAACATTTGCTAGACGTATTTCTTCATTGTACATATTGCAGCTTTACCACTTCAAAATGATTCCTGAGCCGGAAAGACATCGAAAAACTCCGTGGGCTTTTTTTGGATGAAGTTGCAGTAAACTACATGTGGTGAGTTATCTGTCTGTTATTATCACCATCATCCTTTAGGATTCTACTTGGATGTGTTCTCCGATTAGAGTGGTCCATGGTCCATAGGCAAACTTGTGAGAGACACAATGTGCAGACAAGTACTGTCAGATATGCCGACAAAATTCAAGCTTCTTTTCAGATTGCTAATTCAAAAGCTTTTGGTGGTACATTTGGCTAGTTAAAACCTCAGCGACTACGAGAACACAGATTACAGAGTCCCTAGACTAGATAACTTGGCCTCGAAGAAGGGGAAAGGGCCGAAGCGTCGGTGAACAATACTCAAGAAGATCCCTCGATTGTCAAGAAGAACAATAAATCGAAGAAGAGACACCAACCTCGCAAAAGCTTAAAATGAAGATTAGTCCCAAGACCAAGTATCGATTAATCTCGGCATTGATTGAATTATTCTGTAATATTCCTTTGTTCAGTAAAGATTAGTTCCTAAGCTATTCTTGTATTTCTCGCAAAATACAGATTCTCTTTTTTGAGATGGTCTGAATAAAAGCAAGATAAGCTGAGGCAATTTTGTGAGCAATGAGGAATTGATATTAATGAACAGTGTGAGCTGGAATAGCTGAGTGCTCAGTTCTGGATACTAATAGAAAGCAAGATACAGATTTGACACTGATGTAATCACGTAGTCATCACACTGTAGGCCCAGGATTGCAAGAAGTCTCATCTGGTCAACATTCAACGACATTTATAAAGGACGAAATCTTGGGCAGCGTTTGAGACAATACATGAGAACTGCTTGAAGATCTTGGGACGATGAGCGAGGAAATTATTTAGATGCAAGAAAACTAATACTGGCACAGTAAAAGTAATGTCGGGTCATATATATAAATGTATAAGAAAGGGCTTCTTGGGTGACCTGCATATACTGACCCATGGCACGAAGAGAACATATCTGAAAAGCGGCGAGACCTCCAAAACACCAGTGTATGATACTGGCGTACCAGCCTCGACTAAGGCTTTAAACATTCTTAAAAATTAGATCGAATGATTATTGCGAGGTTTTGAAAACAGTTGATGCCATACATGCAAGCCATTGTGAGAGGGTATTTCCCGCAAAAGAATAAAATTTATACGCATATTTGAACAGCTGGTCGGCATTACTTTTCACAAAAATTTACGTTCAAGAAGGCAGGTAGTGGAAAGCGACAGTATGATTTTTAGAAGTATGTGTATTTACGGAAAGATCTATATTTCCGTTCTATTGCTTTCTTTTCTGTCTCTTCTTATTTTTTTCACAATCCTTTCTCTGTGCGCTTTGCACACAAAGAACAAACATAAAGAAAATACAAGGAGTTGATTCCTGTTATTGTTTATTGTCCTTAGAATAGTGGTCGCGCCATATATAAGCACATAAACACATACATACTTCAACAAGTGCGCACATATTCACGGCGTCACACATATATCACCTGTATCACCTGTCGTCCCGTTGATCGTCGAGTGACTCGAGCGGGTACCAGCAACTCTTCCATTTTTCCCTATCGCGGGCAAGAGTAGCCCAGTGGGTCCTCCTTGCTCTAGGAATTCGCTGAGCATCATATCTTTCTTCCATCGCTTTCGTGAAGAAATCGGACCAACGGGTCAGTGGTCTTCCTTTAGAGCGCTTGACGTCCCGAGGAATCCAGTCGGTAACGGCTCTCGTCCATCGGTTGTCGTTGAAGCGCATCACGTGTCCGGCCCACCTTATTTTCGATATCCTGGTGTGTAGAACGGCGTCTCTGATTTTCGGTCGTTGACGTAGGTCGGAAGTTCGGATTCTTTCTCTCATTTGCGAGATACGGGATACTCCTAGCATCGACCTTTCGACTGCGCGTTCGATAACGCCAAGTGATCTTTCATCCTGCTTACGTAGCGACCACGTTTCTGCTGCATACGTTAGGGCAGGGGTAATTGTCGAGTCGAAAAGGTGGGCACGGAGTCGGATGTTCTTTGTCCTCTTCACTACATCTTCGATGCTCTTAAACGTTCCCCAAGCCGCTCGTTTCCTCCTGCTCAACTCTGGGGCTAGGTCGTTCATCATGTTGATTTCACGACCTAGATAGATGTAACTGGAGCATTCGGAAATTGTCGTTCCGTTGAGCGTGAATCGGGCATTAGAAACCCATCCGTTCCTCATGATCATTGTTTTCGTTAGATTCAGTTGAAGACCGATCTTTCCACAGGCGTTATCGAAATCAGTCAACATTCGTTCCGCTTGGCTGATGTTTGGTGTTATGAGAACGATACCGTCAGCAAAGCGAAGATGGTTTAATTGTCGACCGTCAATTTTCACTCCCATTTCGTCCCATTCTAAAGTTCGCATGACGTTTTGTAGGGTGGCAGTGAATAGTTTTGGCGATATTGTATCGCCTTGTCGAACCCCTCTTCTTACGTCAATGGTGATATTGTTGTAGAATGGAGATATTCTGGTCGTGAAATCTTTATAAAGCTCACGAAGGATCATTATGTACCGAGTAGGGACGCCCTGGTTATCCAGAGCCTCTATAACCGCTTCTGTTTCCACTGAATCAAAGGCTTTCTTCAGATCGATAAAAGTGAGACAGAGTGGTTGTTTGTACTCTCGCGAAACTTCAATGAGTCTTGTGATCGTGTGGATGTGGTCCATGGTACTAAATCCTTTTCTGAACCCTGCTTGTTCGCATGGCTGTCCTTCGTCCAGTGTTCTGTCAATCCTGTTCAGGATGACTCGAGTAAAGAGTTTATAGACAACGGACAGCAAGCAGATTGGGCGATAATTGCCTATGTCGTGAAAGTCTCCCTTTTTGAACAACAATACGGTCTTGCTGGTTTTCCATTGAATAGGGACCTTGCATTCTGACAGGTAGCGAGTGAAGAGCCGAGCCAGGGTGTTGATGAGAACTGGCGGCAGGTTCTTCAGGTGTTCTGGTCTAATCCTGTCTGGACCGGGTGTTGTTCTGTTTTTCACCGACGATATAGCATGTCGGATTTCGGAAGGAAGGACCGGTGGAACGACATATTCGTCCTCTTTCAATATATATGACGGTAAGAGAACATGGCTAGCGAAGAGATCCGAGTAGTACTGGTGGATGATTTTCTCCATAGCCCTTCTGGAAGCTGTAAGTGTCCCGTCAGGGTATCGGAGTGCAATCATCTTGGTCTTATAGTCGGCGAAGCCTCGCTGGGCTTTGCGAATGCTCTTCCCAGCTTCTGCAGCTTCTGCCATAACTGCTGCTCTTCTCTCTTTAAGGTCTTCTTTTATCGCTTCTCTGCATCGTTTCGCAAGTTCGGACGTAAGCTTTCGGTTGCCTGCGGCTCGTGCGATTCCACGTTGACGTATCAGCTCGAGTGTCTGCGGAGACAAGCGTCTCTTCGTGACCTTAGGACTTTCGGCTTTTTTAGCGCCAACGTGAAGATATTCAACGAGTCGATCGTATTCTTCGTCGATGTTGTCGACAACGGTATCTTCCCAAGAGCCGACTAATGATTTGAATACATCCCAGTTTATGGTAGTTCTGGGACTTCGTTGTTTGTATTTAGCGGCTTTCTCTCCTCTCCTCGAAAATCGGAACGTTCGTTGCGCGAAGGAGGCGATGGTCTGATCCCGTGTAGAACTTGGGAACAACAGC